AAGTCTCTGAATAGCAGTTTACTTGGACTGCCCCGAGTATTTGCTCAAGAAGAAAGGTGGGATGCAGATCGAATAAACTAAACAAATTCATATCTTCTTAGTGACAGAGTTGCTCACCTCAATTCTGGCTTCTTCCTAGCAAACCTATCTAGGAAGGGAACAGGGGCATCCACAGGAGGAATTTTTTAAAAAAGTCCAGATGGAGGTTAATCAAAACCTCACCCTGCACGTGACATTCAGTCAAAAGGGGTGGGGCTTTCTTCAGGCCGCTCTGGCCACCAGCAGGATGCTTTTGACAAATATACAGTCCTCCGGTGATGCTAGTGGAAGGAAGCAAATAAGGATTAATACCATTTTGGGCAAAGTGGACTGGTAGCTAGTCTGGAAACATGATACACATTATTCCTTTCTAAGCAACACATTTCATGAGGGATGCTCTGTCTTTAAAAAACTGGCCAGATTTCTCTCTTGCTTTCTTGTACTTAGATGTTAGAAACTTTAGATTTATGCCAGTCATTCTGCTATACAAAATAGCAGAAACCTTCCCCTGCTTTTTATTATATTTTCATCTACCTGCAGGTATTTTTCAGTCTGATTTACAAATCAATTAATCCAGAATATTAAACTAAGTTCTATGTAGTTTAAATTCATATTTGAACTGTTTTATTAATTAATCTATTTGTTTTTTTACCTGAACAATAACAACAAAAAGGGTAATGCAGCAAGCTCCAGCAGGGATTCACTTTTTTCCTGAAATACTATACTGGTTTTATTTGGAATTCAATCCAAATATGCTATCCTAAACTCTAAAGATTTTTAAGAATGTGGTTGTTGTGTTTTGCAAATTTATATCTCAATTCACTTTTTTTCTGCCCTTAGGTGGGTGCAGAATAATAAAATCATTCAACTAGATAAATAATTTATTAAAATAGATTAGAAACCTGAAAATTCAAATGTTTTGTTGAAAATGCTTTGCTGAATATTTTAAAAACCAATACTGGTCCTGTATATGGACCGATGGGAAGAGGGAACTTTATTGATAATCATTATATATATATATATAAATTTATTATACGTAAATGAAATTAGATGAAGTAGTGGAAGGAGGGAGGGAGGGAGGGAGGAAGGAAGGAAAGAAAATGTTTCTTAACAGGATATAAAATGTGCGGTCTCGATAATTGCCCCATAATGTACCTTTGTACTTTTTTGCATGGTTTGGATGTAGAGCATTCAGTCTGTAGAGTTCCATTTAGTTTTACATATAAGCAGCCTCGTCCAGTGTATTGAAAGCCCATATCCAAAGCTTAAGCTAATCCATTCCATGAAGGAGCTAGGAGAGCAACAATCACTAAACAAAATGAGTTTAGAATCTCATTATGCTAATTTCTATTGTGTGCTTGATCTCGACCTCAGAGAGAACCCTGTTTGGATTTCAAAAACGCCCATGAAAATATCTATTAGCACAAGTAGCTGTAATGAGAACTAAGCAGGCATATGCTTCCCATTCCCTCCATAAATGCATTTTTCCCTTCTTGTTTTATTAGGTCAGCTCCCCCCTTCCCCCTCCCCTTGATTTGCTGAGGTCACATCTTGACTTGTGTCTAGACAGATGGTGAATGAAAGAAGGGCTTGGTGGATTCTCGGAGGAACGATGGAGAGCTTTCCCCTGCCCTTGGAGCTCTCTGGCCACTTTACCCCCAGCGCAGCATCTCACAGCTGTAGTGAGCCAAATTTTTACAAACTGTATCCACAGTGAGTTTCTATGGCAACCGTATCTTAGAGCACACAAACAGGATTGGCAAGGGGATTCCTTCTACTTCTCCTTCCACCCAAGGAATAACAGCAATAGTAATAAAAAAGATAGTGTGGGCATATATGAAGTACATAAATTGGTTTTGATAAACAATAAATTGGTATTTTTTAATGTTCTTATGCTCCTTATTTTAAAAGAATAAGTGCAAAAGTGCAAAACTGCGAGGAGATACAGAATTGGAGAACGAAGCCAAATGTCAGACTTTGTAATGAAAAGGGGTTTTTTTTGCACAGGAGAGGGAATAGCCACTTATTCAGGTATTAGTCTAATCCAAGTTTCCCCCTCCCTTAAATAAATAAATATAGGAAAGAAACCTCGACTAGCAGACTGCTTCATTAAGTCACCATGACCCTCACAAAATAGTTCATTTTAATTTAATATTTTTTAAAATTAAATCTGTAGGGGGAAATTGTGTGGCTATTTAAGAGGTCCTTCCAGAGATACTTTCACTTTTTTCAGCTGGGCCTGGAGGAATTTCCATGCTGCTGCAAGCAGGAGCCAGGGACTTCTTGTGGCAAAGGATCCTCTGGAGATCCATTTCCATTTCAGGTTCATTCCTTGGATTTCTCAGCACAAATATTGGTCTGATTTGAACTTAATGCCAAACTATGGTTTATGTATGTATGTGTAGGCCATAAACTCATGCCCTCCCTCCTTGTTTTCTTCTACTCTGACATAAAGAAGAGTTTGAAAGCTTCTAAATCCATTTTTAGTTAGCCATGGTTTCTTTTTATGTCCAGACCCAGAACTAATCTTAATTCTGATCCAGAAAATAATTTTTAGCCACAGTTTGCAACCCTTATATTGTTGACTTACAATTCCTATCAGCAATCAAGGACAATAATAGAGTCCTGCATCTGGAAATGCATTTTTAGTCATCCTAAACTATAAAAAGGATAGCTGTGATTTGTTTTGAGTTGAGACAAAACATCTAACCTGCATTTGTTTAAAAATGAAGCAAAATTTCCCATCTCCTCTTGCAACTGAGACAGAGACAAAGAAAACTGATAAGCCCTGATTATCAGACCCTTAAGTCATCATTCCTAACCAGAAAGATGCCAAAGTGATGAAATATGTATCATGATACTACAAGTTGTGTTTCTTAGTAATTGCATGTAAATACTTAAGAGGCTGAGCTTGCATTGCAATGTTGTTGTGCATATTTTGTGCCTTGTCTGTTCTCCCCATGGAAGTCCATGCATCAAACCATAGTTTTCTATTATGCCATATAGCATGTTTTATTTATATATTAATGGCTTAAAATTTTTTACTTGGTTAATTTTATGGGTAAGGGATTTTAAATTGGGGAAGCCAAATTGATTTAATTATTTTTAAATTATTTTAATTTTCATATTGTATGTATTTTAATCTTGGCTGTTCACTGCCCTGAGTCCTTCAGGAGAAGGGCGGTATAAAAATTTAATAAATGAAATTAAATTAAATGAAATATATATTTATTTAATTTTTATAAACATAGTATATAAACACAGAAAAGAGTAAACATATAAAAAAATAAATGAACCATAAATTGGTAGGCAAGGAATAATAAAAGCATCCAAAAATTAGTTTTCCACTATACTATTAATAAATTATGAATGACTGAAAATCACGTATGGCTTTGAATGACTACCATCTTTATTAAGCTTTAAACTAGGATAAATAGTGAGAAGTGTGGTCAGTAAGATATAAATCACCACATAAAATTATAAGCTACAATACATTGAGTCAGAATCTATTCTGCTTTAAGTATACCATGAAATTGAAATATGAACTATATACATAAAATTACCAAAATTATGGATGGAGTACAAATTCAGGTATTAAGTTCTATTCCAGAAATTGTTTCTATTGTTATTTAAATTCTGTGTTAAATTTACTTTTAAGATGCAAAGTTATTTTGGACATCAAAGCATACTCCCTTAACTGGATTAACCATTCTCGCAAAGAATCAAACACATTTTCTACTAAGAAGCATCTCATAAATGCTTTATCAGCTTCCCATATTGTAGCTCAGTGTTCCTCAACCTTGGCAAGTTTAAGATGTGTGGGCTTCAACTCAGAGATGGGCGTCACATAATGTAACAACTGGTTCGCCCAGCACCGACTATGTGAGCACCTTCCGCGTATGCACATGGCTTCAAAAACACAGCGATATAGGACAGGATAGCGCCGGGGCAGGTCGCAACTACCGATTCACCCGAACTGGTCCGAACCGGCAGCAGCCCACCTCTGCTTCAACTCCCAGAAATCTCCAGCTAGTATGCTGGGCTCAATGTGTGTGCTCAAGGAGGGAGGGAGGAACAAACAGAAAATGACAATATAGTTGAGGTGTAAATTATTCTTGCAGACATATTTTAATTGGACAAGTGAAGTTGTGAAAACCCTTTTGTGTTTTGTGTATCTTAATTTGATGGTAGGCTTTCCTTGTGTGGATAAGACTGCAATCACTTTAAGTGACTATGATAGGATGAGCAGAGATTTGGGCTTCTGTTGACTTACTCTTCCTCACATATAACTGTCTTATATATTCTTTAATTTGCATTTTGCAGGACAGACGTTTTAGAGCAGGAAGATGGGTTGTTGTAAAACAATAATACATGCTTCCCCAATAGTGAACAAACATAATTATTTTCTTATTTGTTCCTTCATGACACTTCTGCCAAAAAGTGAAGAATAGATTCATATTTTGTTAATTATTATACATTCCTCTAGCATTTTAGAAGACAAAGGTTCAATGTTCTGTTGCAACCATACAGACAGCATCATGTTTTATATCCTGGAAAACATATAATCAGATACTTGCATGTTCATTTTATAGTCTGTTCCACAGTTTCAATAAAGCTAATTTAGGTCCAAATCTTAACATGATCAATCATGAATGGTTATCAATAACTGGCCTCATTTTATGCAATATTTTTCTTGATTCCTTTCAAAAATATGTTCCATACAACTTCACAGCATCTTTTTTGGCTTGGAAAAGGAATAAGAAGAAGGATATTTTTTTTTTAGAAATTATTATAAATAGTTATAAGATCAAATGTGGATTTCTCTTGAGCCTCAGAATTTCTTCTCTGTTGATTTTGGCATACTAGAGCCTTGTTTGTTTTTGATTATCATTTTTGAGAAACGTTTTCAGTAACAGGGTTGAATAATTGATCTTCATCACTAATTATATTGCTCTCCACAGGTGTCTGGAAAAGGTCCAGATGAGACTCCACACCACCTCCAGTTTGAAGGCATGGAAAGGCAGTATGCCTCCTTACCCAGGTAAGCTGCATTGTATATTTATACACAGTCACTCTTTTATGCAGACACAAGTGTGTCTACAGAAACGTTTTTTCACAGGCAATCAAGGAGTCTCTGTCTCTCCTCCCATTATTCCACTGTTTAGCAAAATCTGCATTGAACAGACATCTGGCAGTGAAATGAGAGATTATGTTGCAATTTTGTTATGCTGCCCTTCTGTTGATGATTTAGTGCCATCTTTATAGCTGTGTTAATAATTTAGACAGCCAATGAGGGAGGGGGGGAGATGAAGTTTCAGTCACTGAACATGTCAGCAAGAATCATGATCTGTAGGGGAAGGTTGTGATGCTGCGGAAGCTTGTTCTGTGAGAGTTTAGCCACTTTAGCAGAGCTGAATGAGACATCCTTTGTGGAGGACGCTGGGAACAGTTGCAATCACAGTCCCATATCAATGGCTCGAGAGTTTCTTGAAGGAAATTTCATTTTTTTCACAGCCAAGGCATTCATACTGTGCCCCATACTTAGATCTTTGATTAAATCTCCACTAATGGAGTGGATTGCTATAACTTTCTAGCGCTATAATTTCCAAGATAGCCAGTTTTGAGGTTAACTCATCAGGCTAGAATCTGGGAGACCATGAGTTCTATCCCTGCCTTAGGCAAAATATCATCTAGGTCAGTGGTGGGATTCAGTTGATGTGGGCCAGTTCAGGTGAACCGGTAGTTAAATTGCTGGCTGGCCCCACCCCTTTCCATCCCGCCCCATCCAGGAATCCCCAAGTGCCCCATTTTGGCTTCCTAGGATGCCTCCTAGGCCTGTTTTCACTCCCAGGAGGCTGCAGAGAGACCTACTATGCCCATAACAGGGTGTGGGGGTGGGTGGCACATCCCCTCCTTGGCCCGTTTTTGCTCTCAGAGGGGTGCAGGAGGCCGAGTGCTGCCTGTCACACCCAGTGGCCACACCCACCATGGCCATGACCACCCAGCCCGTCATTAGGGCAGAGAACCAATTGTTAAATTATTTGAATCCCACCACTGATCTAGGTGACCTTGAACCAGTCACTTTCTCTCATCTAGGAAGGAGGCAAGAGCAAACTACTTCCTAAATCTTGCCAAGAAAACTGCAGGGACTTGTCCAGGCACCTGACTTGGAGTCACCCTCCCCCTGAAAAAAATCCAAACTGGTTGAAGGCAATGCATGCTTGGTGTCCTCAAGATACTTTGGGACCACAGCTCTCTGAATTCCCAGTCACCACAATGCCAACATTAAATTAGCTGGGAATTCTGATAACCTTGATGTATTTCAAAGAAGATGACTATTCTGAGAAAGTATGGGAATTATAATGCAAAATATAGAGAGGACACCGTCCACAAACTTTGGATATTGGTATTTGCGTCTGAGAGACAATAGTAACAGTTTTTCTTAATTGTCCCCTTACACTGTTATCCTTAACAATAATAAGCCACGAAGGAAAGGAAGTTCATTCCAGGCAGCATAAAGGAGAGCTTGTTCACTCAATTATTCTGAGTTCAGTCCATAAAATTCAAAGCAAATGTACATAAATGAAAAGAGACAAATTGTGTTCGGCATTCATAACGCGACACCCCGCCGCAGGGAGGTGGAGCCAATTAGATGGGTTCGCCCCAGGCACCTGATGGATCCTGATAGCTTCCAGATGGAGCTTAGGCCATTTCCTGAGGATCTGGCACACGACTCGGCCGAGGACCTGGTGGCTGCCTGGGATCGGGCGGCTGGTGGGGCCCTGGATCGAGTCGTGCCTTTGCGGCCTCTGACCCGGTGCCGATCCCTCGCGGCTCCCTGGTATACCGAGGAGCTGAGGGAGATGAAGTGCTGGAAAAGATGCCTGGAGACTGGTTGGAGGGCCAGTCTCGCTGAATCTGACCGAACACTGGTAAGGTCGCATATTAAAACCTACCTAGTGGCGATAAAGGCGGCAAAGTTTAATTACTTTTCCGCTCTTATTGCATCATCAGAGAATCGTCCGGCTGCCCTGTTCAGGGTGACCCGCTCCCTGCTCCATTCGGGAGCGTGGGAGGATCCCCTGGAAGGCAGGGCCGAGGATTTCGGACAATATCTGTATGACAAAATCGCTCAGATCCGGGGGGATCTGGACTCTGACTGAGTAGATTTGGGCAGGGTGGTGAGGAATAGTCTTGAGAACGTTATCTGGGAAGAGTTTGACTCTGTGACCCCTGATGACGTGGACAGGATTCTGAGGAGACTTAGTGCGGCTACATGTTTACTGGATCCGTGTCCCTCCTGGTTGGTACTGGCTTCCCGGGAGGTTACACGAGGCTGGCTCCAGGGAATTATTAATGCTTCGTTGAGTGAGGGTTACTTCCCCATGGCCTTGAAAGAGGCGGTGGTGAGGCCTCTTCTCAAGAAGCCTTCCCTGGACCCGGCAGTGTTAGCTAACTATCATCCTGTCGCCAACCTTCGCTTCGTGGCGAAGGTTGTCGAGAGTGTGGTCGTGCGACAGTTTCTGCAGTACCTGGAAGAATCGTCTTATCTAGATCCGTTCCAGTCGGGTTTCAGGCCCGGGCACAGCACGGAAACAGCATTGGTCGTGTTGGTCGATGATCTCTGGAGGGCTCGGGACAGGGGTTATTCCTCTGTTCTGGCCCTGTTAGACCTCTCAGCGGCTTTTGATACCATCGACCATGGTATCATGCTGCACCAGTTGGAAGAGTTGGGGATGGGGGGCACCGTGTTACGGTGGTTCTCCTCCTTTCTCTCAGACCGGTCGCAGTTCGTGTTGACAGGGGGGCAGAGATCGACCTCGAGGCCTTTTATATGTGGATGCCTCAGGGGTTGGTCCTCTTGCCCCTTCTGTTCAACATTTATGTGAAGCCGCTGGGTGAAATCATCTGTGGTTTTGGGGTGAAGTACCACCAGTACACTGATGACACCCAGCTGTACATCTCCACCCCAGGCCACCCCAACAATTCCCTTGAAGTGATGTCCCAGTGCCTGGAGGCTGTGTGGATCTGGATGGGGAGGAACAGGCTCAGGCTCAACCCTTCCAAGACTGAGTGGCTGTGGTTCCCGGCATCCCGATATAGTCAGTTGACTCCATCACTGACTATCGGGGGCGAGTCTTTAGCCCCCGCGGAGAGGGCACACAATCTGGGAGTCCTCCTGGATACACAGCTGACCTTGGAGGAACCTCTGACGGCTGTAGCCAGGGGGACCTTTTGTCAGGTTTGCCTGATTCGCCAGTTGCGGCCCTTTCTTGATCGGGATTCCCTGTGCACGGTAGGATTTCACTACCGCACACGTCTACTTTCACTTTTAAGAGGATATTCCAACTCTTCTGAAGAGCTGAAACTCTGTAAATCTTATTTCACAGAGACCTTGGAAACCAACAATAAATATTTGTACTATAAGCAGTGTCCAATGAAAAGCCATAGTGCACACATACATACACACAAACATACACATTTATTTAATTAGTTCAGATCTATGGTCATAGTGTAAGCAGGTTTTTCTAATTTAGCCTCCTCCCTTATGGTCGCTGTCCCCAGCTTCTCATACTAAATATGGCAGGAAAGATTTTTAGCAAATCCTAAAATACAGAATAATTTTATTTGTAAATTACAAATAATATGACCATGACTTTACATGACCAAAGTATGGTGAAAGTCAAAGTAGAATCACACAATATGTAGCAGTGTTAAAAAAAGGAAACTGAGAACATGGAAATGCAGATAGTTTATATCTGCCTAACATACCAATGTACAATCCAGGAATATATAAGGTCAGAAGGAAGAAAAGGTAGCTTTCTAAGTCAATGCATCATTCTCAGCGATACTGAGGGATTTTATGTTCAAACAAAACACCCCCCAAGAGTCCAGCTGTCGTACAGATTTATGGAACTGCTTTGTTCATATTTTCCTGCTATATATTCTCTCAGATTTTATCTACTGTTAAAACTACAGAAGTTTTCTACCTGTATGGCAAATTAATTTCTTGGTTAAATTGTACTAATTATGGAATTATAATTAGTAAACACTTTGATGGAAAAGAGGCATACCACTCTTGGTGATGTGAGAATTCTAACTGTCCCAAGAGTTCTGTCATGTCTCAAACCTTTTCTTTTAGATGAAAAGAACTGAAAAAAATCATGGTAATTAATTTTGTTATTAATTTTGTCATATTTTGTATGTTCTGTTGACAACCTTGCCAGTTTCAAACTTTAGTAAATAATAATAAAGTGTCTTAAATTGGAATGCCAGTGTTCTAATGCAAAAGTTGCAATAGAAGTCTACAGTATTCAAGAAAATGTGGACAGTTATCTACATATGGTTATCAGCAGGGGTGAAATGCTACCGGTTCGGGGCGGTTCACCTGAACCAGTAGTGAAAATGCTACTGATTCACCCAAATCGGTAGTAAAAAAATGCTTTAAAAAGTAAAAAAAAGTTCCAATGATCAGCTGTGCCGTGCAATCATGTGAACTTTTTTTTAGCATTTTTTTTACTATTGGTTTGGGCAATAGGTAGTAAAAAAATGCTTTTAAAAAGTTTTTAAAAGGTTTCAACAATCAGCTGTGACAATCAGCTGTGCCGCGCGATCATTTTTTTTTTTTACTTTTTAAAGCATTTTTTTTACTACCTATTGCCCGAACAGGTATTTTTGTGTAAAGTGTGATAGTTTGTTTTTGAGCTCTCTGTGAGGTTCCTGCTTGTTGCAGGGGCCATTTTGTGTGAGTCCAGCTGCTTTTGCAATGTGTGTGAGTCAGTTATGTAGCTTTTGTGTTATTTTTGTGTAAAGTGTGATAGTTGGTTTTCCCGATCACATGACCACCAAGCCACGCCCACAGAACCGATAGGAAAAATTTTTGAATTTCACCACTGGTTATCAGCATTCACTTGGGGAGCATCTAATTTGGTGAGGTGTGTGCTTATTAAATTAATGTCAACATCTACCCCATTTTAGACTTTCATTGGTACACACATCTGAAATATCATGGTTCTACAGTCTACATTCCCCACCAAGGAA